TTGGGGGGGGGGGGAAACCCCGGGGGGGGGGCCCCTTTTGGCCCTGGCTTTTTTTTCCCCCCAGGTTCCAACCCAGGGGGGCCCGGGCCCCCCCCTGCCCCCGGCCCCCCGGAGGGGCCCCCCCCCCGGTTCCCCCCCCCCCATGGACGCCTTTCAAAGGGGGCAAAGAGCCCGGGAGCGGCCTCCCGGAGAGGGCTCCGGCCCCGCAGCACCCGCGGCACGACCATGGGGCCCCGCTTTCCACTTAGCCCGCGCAGCGAACCCCCGGGAGCCGCTCGAGAACTCCGCCAGCGAGTCGTCCGACACGGAGCTGCCAGGTAAGCGCGGCTCCCCGCGGGGCGCACGCGGAGCCTGCCCCGCGCACCGAGCCGGGAGCAGGGCCTGGCCTCCGCGCCTCGCGTCGGGACCTGTCCTTTTCCCCGTTCTCCATTTGACCGTGAACGCGGAAATTTACACGCTTTATGGAGCGGACATTTAGTGCTCTCCGGAGGCATCTCCACGAGGTCCCCACGCGCCCTGAGAGCGGCAGATGCACGAACCTACCACCGGAGGGGCGGACAGCCCCTCTTGACGAGGAGCGAATAGAACGGGAAAAGTTAGGTTTTCGCAACTGGGTGCCATGGGGCCGCTCAACCAAATGAGAGGAGCAGATCGAGAAGGTGGTGAGTGAGAGAAAAGTATCCAGAGAGACAGAGACCGGGACAGACACACCGACAGTGGGTGACAGATTGAGGAGGAGATACCAAAGAGAAGTGGGGGGGCGATAAAAGTCAGAAAAGCAAACTGGGGTCGAGGTGGAGACAACCTCAAGGAAAAGGAAAACAGACGGAGGACAGCGAGGGAGAGCGGTCCAAGGGATGCGGCCCGACTCCAGGCAAGACCCCCCTCAACTTGGGATCCCGGCCCCACGCGCGCCCCGGGAGCCGGGAGCCGCTTGGCCGCTGGGCCAGGGCTTGACTGCTCGGCCACGTCTCCCTCCGCGCTGCCGGACTCTCCCAACTCAAAGCCTTTCTTCCCGGGCCCAGCCGGGCCGTGCGAGCCGTGGCGCGGCCGACCCCGTCCTGGCCCGACCTCCTGGGTCCGCAATCCGCTCCCACACTCGCCACCCGAACACGGCGGCGTTGGCGAGCTCCCCACTCCCCGGCCAGGGGGTCCTCTTCTGCGTTCATTTTTTAATCCACCGCCGAGTGTTTCTCTACGCGTTTTTAATCTCTATTTATTTCTGTTTCGCATCCCTAAGTGACTTTCTCTGAGAGGTTCTGTTTGCTTGGTTAAAAAAAAATAGTCAACGCTGGACTGTACTTTTGTTTTCAAAAGTTTTAAGCATGGCCTTTGCTTGGTTTTTATTTTTAAAACCCAGAGAAATATGTCGTTATAGGTTGCTTTTTTAAAACCAAATCTGTGAGCATAAAATTAAATTTTACCTGTATTTTTCTATACAGAAAGAAGTACTACAGTAGGTATATTTCTCTGGAATTTGAAATACCTACATGCAACATTATTCTTTGGGAGATTTTTTAAAGTCGATCCAAAATGGCGCGTTTCTCGGGTAGTTTTTCAAAATCCATTTACAGGAGTGTTGCTTGGGGAATTTAAGTTATCTGACTATAGTGTTGTATTTCCCTGGGATTTAAAAATTACCTCAGAAGGACATTACTGCGCAGGGGTTAAAAAGCTATCTACAACAGCACATTGATTTGTAAACCCCAGAGGAGTAAGTGCCGGTGCCTCCTGGAGTTTGTACACGCACAGCCCTGCATTCAGTCAGGGGTGTGTTTGTGGCTTCTTACTTTACATCTGCTCTGTGTTCCTACCTGACTATTTTTAAGAGTTTCTGACCCTTTCTATGCTTGTAGGCTTAGAGCTGTGAACTTTTTTAGGCTTCTGTGTTTTGCTTCTAAGTTCTTTTTTTATGTTTCAGTGTTTCTATGACTGCGTGTGTTTTGTAGCTACAAGGGAGAGAGGCTACAGCTCCAGGTCACCTAGACAGTCTGTCAGTCTGGGCTGCCCGGCTGCGGCTGGGCCTCCGGACGCGAGGCCTGGAGCTGAGGCCGAGAACAAGACTGTGTCTGCCTGCCCGGAGGGGCTCCCGGGCAGCCCCGGGGAGAAGAAAGTGGAGGGCTGCAGGCCATACCACCTAGTTCATGCTCCACTGACCAGCTAGCTTCAGACTAGAAAAATTAGATCCTAGCTCAGAAGAGCAGAGACCTCCCTTAAATTTAGACTGACTCTTGAAAGTCAATTGCCGCTGACATTAGCAGCTGGGCTCAAGCCTAAACCAAGCTCGGAGAGCAGGCCCTGCCCTGCCAGGAGCCTAGGCCCGCGGCTGGGCTCCTCTACTCCAGGCACCCAGACCAGAGGTGACTGCCGACGACCAGGCACGACGGGCTCTCCCCAAATGGGGACGATATCAGGGCCCCTGGCGGGAGGGAGGGCCGCCAGCGCCGATGGCGGGTTCTTCGGTGGAGCCGGGACGGGTACGAAAGGGCATAAGCCCAAGGTGACGAAGCGTCCCGTCCTGCCTGCTTCAGAGAAGGAGCGCAGCGGGGAGCCCAAGGGGCCTGAGGACGGCGGTGCTGGCGGCGCGGGCTGCGGAGGCGCGGAGGACCCCGCCAAGAAAAAGAAGCAGCGGCGGCAACGCACGCACTTCACAAGCCAGCAGCTGCAAGAGCTGGAGGCCACGTTCCAGAGGAACCGCTACCCCGACATGAGCATGCGGGAGGAGATCGCCGTGTGGACCAACCTCACGGAGCCGCGCGTGAGGGTGAGTCGGGGCGCACGCAGGCGGCCGGCGGCGCGGCCTCTGCCGCAGCCCTCGAAAGCTTAGACTCGCGCTCAGACTTTCACTTTCCCACCACTCAGACCTGCTCCCTCTCTCCACCGTAGCAGATTCCACCCTAAGCCCAGTCTGCCCAGTTGCCGCCAAGCCCTTTGGCCGCTAGCACCCTCGGCGGTCGGTCCTTCAATCCCTCTGACCCGCATCCTACCTGACCCTCGGGCTCTACTGCAGCCCAGTCCAAAGACCTGTGGCCCCAGGAAGCGTTCCCCGCCCTGGAGGGCCCAGGGCCCACTCGGATGGGACCACCCTGGACAGCGCAGAGGGTTCCCCACCGCTGGGGACCTCAGAGTGGCCGGCGTCTCCCCCGGAAAACGAAAGGGAAAGGCGGGTCACCCCTTCCTGGTAGCCTGCGAGAGGCCCGAAGGGTGCCTAAGCTCCGGGTCTCAAAAATTTCTGGGATGGTGGTCCCATTCTTACCGGCTTCTCCAAAATCTCTGGAATTCTCCACCTGACTCCTCCCAGCTATTCAACCAGTCAGTAGCTGGGCCCTTTCCCTAATTCCCTTTCCTGTAGGGCTGGGGTCAGGGGGGCTGGGCGGGGGAGGGGGGAGGCAGCTCTGGTGGATGAGTGACCATCAGGTCGAGTCCCTTTGGAGATATAAGATTTCTGACCAAGACCAGACTGCACCCTACTTCTCCTCACCGTTTTGTTCCCAGTAAAAGCAAGGCTTTCCTGCCAGCGCAGCAGGAGAATCATTTCTTCTTTGGTGCACAAATATTTAATCATATTGGGAGCACGTCCCTAGCCAGACCAAAGTCCCACCTGGACTCCTGCTAGAACCCCAGCTCCCACTCCTCCCTCGCCCGGACGCCAGCCCGTGGGACGGGAGTGAAGACAGCACTCAGTAATCCTGAGCTCACTAATCCTGCCCAGGGTTTATGGTGGGCTGTGGGGTGGAATCAGGCCATGTCAGTGCGGGAGCCTGGAGAAGGCTGAGAGACAGGGCTAGCAAGTAGCTGGGGAAACTCAGCTCAGGGCTGCAGGACGGCTGGGGAGGGCAGAGGGAAGATAGGTGAGGATCTGCAAGGACCAGGAGTGGGGGAAGAAGAGGAGGTTCTTACTAAATTCTGTGGGAGAAAGTGGAGGGGAGGTTAAAGAAACTAGTATGAAGTGAAAGGAAATTAAACATTTGCAGAGAAACGTATCTGGCAAACTTAGGCGGCAGAGAAGAAATTAAATATTTAAGGGAGAAGCAAGAGAATCAAGTATTTGAGAAAATAATCAACTATTAAGAGAAACAGTGAAGGTCAGATATTTGGAAAGAAGGAAAAAATAAATATTTGGAGGAATCAAAAGGATCAAAATGGGGGACAACAAAGAAAATGAACTATTTGAAAGAGAATAAAGTGGTTCAGATAGTGTGGACCAAACGAAAATAAACATTTGGGACAGAAATGAGAATATCAAATATTGCCCAAAAAGATGGAAACAAACTGAGGAATGAAAAACAGATTGAAGAATGGGGGGAGGAGGAATATTCTAAGTTTCAGGGAAGAAAAATACTTTTTGTATTCAAGGGAGAAGAAAAACGACGGGCTATCTAGGAGACAGATAGGGACCCGTTTGGGGAAAAAAGCAGAAGATAGCCTGGTTGAGAAAGGAAGAAAAAAACGAATATTTGTTAAAACAGAAGATCCGTATATTAGAAGGAGAAAACGGATTTAATTTGGGAAGGAGGATAAAGATGAGAAAAAGGAAAAGACTAATTTTTCCTGGGGACAGGAAAGCAACCATTATGGAGAAAAGGCAGGAAATATGGAAGAAAAGCGATATTCGGAGAGAAAGAGGCGAAGCGAGGGCTAGGAAGGAGGGGGGTGGTCCCGCCCTCGGCAGCCCTGACCCTGTCCTGCCCCCTTCCCCCAGGTCTGGTTCAAGAATCGGCGAGCCAAGTGGCGGAAGCGGGAGCGTAACCAGCAGCTGGACCTGTGCAAGGGCGGCTACGTGCCGCAGTTCAGCGGCTTGGTGCAGCCCTACGAGGACGTGTATGCTGCCGGCTACTCCTACAACAACTGGGCGGCCAAGAGCCTGGCGCCAGCGCCGCTCTCCACCAAGAGCTTCACCTTCTTCAACTCCATGAGCCCGCTGTCATCGCAGTCCATGTTCTCGGCGCCCAGCTCCATCTCCTCCATGACCATGCCGTCGAGCATGGGCCCGGGCGCCGTGCCCGGCATGCCCAACTCGGGTCTCAACAACATCAACAACCTCACCGGCTCCTCGCTTAACTCGGCCATGTCCCCGGGCGCCTGCCCTTACGGCACACCCGCCTCGCCCTACAGCGTCTACCGGGACACGTGCAACTCGAGCCTAGCCAGCCTGCGGCTCAAGTCCAAGCAGCACTCGTCGTTCGGCTACGGTGGCCTGCAGGGCCCGGCCTCCGGCCTCAACGCCTGCCAGTACAACAGCTGACCGCCCGGCCGGCCACGAGGGCCGCACGGTGCGGGGGCGGAGGACGCACGCGGGGCCTCGCTCTGTGCGCCCGCCGCGCGCCCGCGCAGCCCCTCCTCCCCCGCCCCCCTCCGGGTTGGTTTTGTGTTTGCTTTTCCGGACCCCACTCTGCCCTCCAAAACCAGACAAAACAAAAAGACGTCGGAGCGAAGTGCCGCGAAAAAACGGATGAGTTGCAATTTCCTCGGGATGCGCGGGTGCGTGTGTGCGCTTTCTCGGGCTCGGCGGCGGCCAGACCCGGCGCACCGAGAGGACGCCCCGTTGCCCGTGTTCCCGCCGCGCTGACTCGGACTGCGTCGCCGCGCCTGTGAACTGGACGCGCGGGAGCCTGGCCTCGGCCCCTACGAAGCAAGACGCCCCCTCCGAGCTGGGCCCGGCCGAGCGAACCTTAGCTCGATCCGGATCCGAGTTGGAGCGGGCGTTGGGCCGGGGATGACAGTGTCTAGCCCGGGACCAGGGACTCGCTGAGGAGCCGCACGCGGCCCCGGCGCGCCCCCAGGAGCCCTCGCCGGCCTGGCGCCCGGGAAAACTATTTAAAGGCTACGGAGCCGCAGATGCGGCGAGAGGATGGGGTGGGCTCGTCTCTGAGCACCCCAGCTTCCCCGCAGGCCCAGGTCCTCTGCTCCGCTCCGGGCTGGGAGGTGGCCCCCTGGTCCCGGCGCAGAGCTGCGGTGCAAGAAGAGTGGAGCCGAGCCGGGGAGCTCCGGGCATGGCCACGGCCTCTCGCCGCGCCCACTTTGCACACCCGCTCTCCGGCCCGCGCCCCTGTTTACAGCGTCCCTGTGTATGTCGGACTGACTGTATAGAATTATAAATCTGTCTATATCGACTTGTCCATGTACGTCTATTAAAACCATAGTACGAGCGTGCTAACCGCTGCGGAGCCCTGACTGCTTCATTCGGCTGAGGAGGGAGGTGGGTAGAAAGGGAACTTCGCCACCAAGGGCCCTGAGGGTAGGAGGGAATAGCAGAGGCAGACCCCGCCAGGGCCCATTCCCCCACTTCCCCACCACCATTCCCGACCTTTCTGCCGGCTCCCGTGAGGGCGCTGCCGGGCATTCTCGGCTCCCAATCTCTGCTTCGGGCGCTCACCGTCTGGGCTGCTCAACCTAGGCGTTGCATGCGTGGGCCGCCCTAACCGGGGCCTCCTCCCAGCCCCCCTCAACACCCCGGCCCAGACTCTGCAGGCTCTCAGGGTTTGCGCGATCCTTGTCTGCCCAGGACGTTGGGATGGGACCGCTGAGAGCCTCTTTAGGTCTAGGGTTGCCTTTTCTCCTGTGGGCCCGGTATCCCCACCTTGGAGCCCTGCCCTAGCCATTCCAGGAGGGTGCTGGATCTACCAGGGTCTAGCCAGGGCTCCCCCCTCTTTTCTCCCCGCCCCCCAACCCCACCCAGGGGCATGTGGCTTGCCGGGGAAAGCGTCCATCACACAGAACTCACTTCTCACTTCCCTTCCATCCCAACTTGTTGGAGGCTCCCGGCTGCCTCCACCTTTCCCCACTTTTGGAAACTGCTGAACAAGACCAGCCTGTAAACTGCCTGTGAAGTTCTGCTTTCCTTAAGTAAGTCGCTTCTAATGGCGATACAAAATGTTTGTAGCTGCAGCCGGGAGGAAGGAAGGGCTGGTAATTCTGCTTTAGAATCACCTTGAGACAGGGATTGGCACTGCCCTGGAGCTGGACCCAGGCAAGCCCTAGCTGGGAATGGGGCGCATCCATGGGCTTAGTCATGAGCTAATAGCTGGAGAGCCCTGTGCACTCATTCTCAAACCAGGTCAACACTGTGTTGTCCCTATTATACAGATGATGGAACGGAGGCTCCACCACATGATGTAATTGGGCCAAGGTCACACAGAGACAATAGTCTTTAGATTCCAAAGCCAGGCATCTTTGCACTGGTCTTCTCACCTTCAGATGAGGTGTGAGGAAGGGTCCTTCCTAGAAGATGGCCCAGCCTGATGCTGTAGGATTTGGAGTGTGGGGTTCTAAAAGGGACAGGGCCAGATACACAGACTGAAGGAGGGAGGTGGGGGGAGGGAAGGCTGGGGCAGGGGGTGGAGCCAGACCACCCCTCCCCCAACGGCTCCAGTCCAGAGCTCTGACCCCTTACTGGCTGGAAACATAAACACAATCACATCTGGACTCAGAGTGCCTTCCCCAGCCTCACACATCTGCCAAGGCCAAGGGACCCTGGTTACAGTTGAAGGCAGAAGGCAAAGGAGACCTAGAAGGAGGTGTGACTGGAGGGAAGTGGGAAGCAGGAAACCTTCTTCTGAAAGTCAGGCCCAGCTCCAGGTGAGAGAGGGGCCAAAGAGGGGCTCTGGTGGAGACTCAGAGTGTCTGTGGGGCCACAAGCCAAACAGCTGCAGATGGCTGGAAGGGTATAAGCAGCCCACAATAACCCCACCATTCGTCAAGGACCATGGCCAACATGGTGAGTATAAGACCCAGCCTTAGGCTCCACCAGCTATCCTGACCTAGCTGTTATGTGGCTGGTACAGCAGATAGTATCCAGCCCTTTCTAACTGCACCAGCTGCAAGATTATCTCTGTAGGAGGGGTTGAGGAATATATAGCGCTCTGAAAACCAAATCCTCTGAGAAAAGGCGGAAAGTCCTGCTCCTGCTCTGGCTGAAGAAGACCAGGGAGGGGGTGTCATTCATTCAGCCAACATTTACTATGTTTCTGCCCTTGGTGCTAACGGTTGAGCAGTGGAAAACAGACACAGTCCCTGCTCTCAGGGACAAGTAAACAAACGTGTATAATTACAAACTGGGCTGAGTGCTTTTGAAGAAGAAATGCTATAAGAAAAAATGAGTCCTGCTTTAAACAGGGTGATCATGGAAGGCTGTTCTAGGGAGGAAGTTCCGTCTTCAGTAGCAAATGCTATCATTTATTGAGCCCATTTGGGGCCCAGGGTCCTGTGCTAAGTGTACACTCCTCATCGATGAGCCCCTTTACCTGCACAACAACCCTATAAAGAAGGGTTTTCATTATCCCCTTTCCCTGATGAGGCCCCAAGGCTTAAACAAGTCAGGTCACTGGCCCAAGTTAACACAGCCGGAAGTAATGAGGTGGATTCAAACCTGGGCAATGCCCATTCTCTGCACTGGGCTGCCCCAAGCCAAGCACGTGGGCAACATGGGCTGGGGGGCGGGTGGCGGCTATGACCTTGAAGAGATCATAATTTCAGCTGTCAACATGAGACTAGCTCCGGGAAATAGAAGAGCAGATTTGTTTTTACCTGGTCCTGACAAAGTGACCCCCAAAGGGCTGCTGCAGGTTTAGGGGGGACAGGAATTAGGGGCAGAAGGGCAAGAGGCTGGTACCCAGCACTATCTGCAGGCACTGTGGGACACCAGAGGAAAATGGGATTAGCCACTGTGTGCAACCCCCAAGAGCCTGGCCATTGAAGGAGAGGTACTGAGTCACCTCCCCTAGATTTATGGTCCCAGCATCCAAGTGGAAGTCACAGCTAGAAGATCTGCCGTGGAGTGGGCATTGCCCATGGAGTCCAGGCCCTGGAGGGGGCTCTGTGATGCCCTTCAGCTCCCCCTGAGATAGGCAGCAGGGCCTCAGTCACCTAAAGGGCCAGTCTGGGAAATGAGAATCAGGGTGGTTTCATGGCCCTTGACCTCCCCATTTCCTGGGCCAGTCACTTGGCTCTGCTATCCCCAGGAACCTCTTAAGAGCAAGGGTTTGAGTTCTGGATCCACCTCTGAGTTGCCTTGGGCAAGAGACTTAATTAAGGTCTCTGAGCCTCTGTTTCCTCTTCCATAAAAGGGAATAACAACAGTCACTTCACACAGTTGTTTAAAGGATTAAAGAGATAATGCACATAGTGTTAATTGGGGTGCTGGTATTGTAAGTGCTCAATAAGTGGTTATTATTGATGGCGGTGTTGTTGTTATTAAATATTATTTGGGGTCCAACTTTTCTGGGAGTCATGAATGTGAGTCATAATTGACAGTCCTGCTGACTTCCCCACCCCACCTTCCTTCCATCCCACTCCTGGAACCATCCTAGACTTGGACTCAGTAACCCAGCCTGGGAGACCCAGAGGAATGGGGCCCAGTCCCTGCTGTGCGCTGGGTCTGGGGACAGGCAGGTCAGCAGTCAGTACTCTGTAAGGGCTCCCTGCAACGTGGGAGGAAGATGCTTGAACACTTCTTTTTGTGTTAATCATTTCATCAATAGCTAACATCAGGCCTTTACCAAGCGAGCCCCAAGCCTCATACAAGCACTTTATAAGAATTACAGCCTTTCCTCCTCACAGGAGGGAGGGGATTATTCCTCTTACGCTGGGAAAAAGGGAGGCCCAGAGAGCACAGCTAATTTGGAGAATCTCTCTTCCTCTGTGCTGCCTAGGAGGTGGCAGCCATCTCTTACTCAGCGCCCTTGTGAAACCCAAGATCATCAAAGCAAAACCACGGTGAGACACACTGAACAGCCATTAGGATAGCTGCCCTCAGGCCCTTGTGAAGCCCAAGATCATCAAAAAGAGGACCAAGAAGTTCATCCGGCACCAGTCATACCGATATGTCAATTAACCCTAGCTGGTGGAAACCCAGAGGCATGGACCACAGTGCACAGAAGATTCAAGGACCAGATCTTGATGCCCAGCGTTGGTTATGGGAGCAACAAGAACACAAAGCGCACGCTGCCCCGTGGCTTTCAGAAGTTCCAAGTCCACAGCATCAAGGAGCTTGAAGTGCTGCTGATGTGCAACAAATCTCACTGTGCTGAGACTGCTCACAGCATCTCCTCAAAGAACCGCAAAGCCACTGTGGAGAGCAGCCCAGCTGGCCATCAGTCACCAACCCCAATGCCAGGCTGCGCAGTGAAGAAAATGAGTACACGGATTGTGTGCACATTGTGTTCGTGTTAATAAAGCCATAAAATCCTGCCACCTGGAAAAATAAAATAAATAAAATAAAAAATGTGGGAGTCAGGACCTGACCATGCTCCCATCCACTGTACTACCCACCCTCCTGAGGAGAATCACATTAGTACTGGGTGGTGGGACTGGGGGAGGGGGGATGAACAACTATAATTCATGTCAAGAGGTTGGGCACAGCTGGGCTCTGGGAGAGAGAACAAAAAGGCACCAGGCCTTGAGACTTACCTTCACGGAGCTCACTCCACTGGCTGTGAGAGAGCAGCAGGGGGCATGGGTGACAACAGGGACTGAGGAAGTCCTGAGGCGGGGGGGAGC